CCTAGTGGGCAGGAGGGACTCCCCAGAGAAGCCCATCAGGGGAGTGATGACGGGGTGAGGCGCTCTTTGTCGATGCCGAGCTTCTCAAATGCGTCCTCGAAGAGTACATCAGCGGAGCTACCTGTATTAACTAGGATCCGCCTTATCTCGAAGTTGGCAACCTCAATTGTGATTATCAAGGCATCGTCGTGCGGGGTCTGAACCCCCCCGAAGGTCATCATCGATGAATGTGACGGATTGGCCATGCTTCTTCTTATGCCCCCGATTATTGATCTTGCACAATTATGCATACTTCTTGCGCCCCGAGCTACTCTCCCCTCCTACGATGATTCCTCCTAATATGATGTGGATCACACCAATGGGGGGCACAGGGTGGTGGTCGATCATTCTCCATGCGTTGTTCCTCCTGTGCCAGCTTCTTACTCTTGTCAATGAATCCGCCGAGGTATCCGCGCCTGATTAAGTTTTGAATGTGGTTGCGCAAGTCAAAGTAGTTCTCCGAATCGTGGCCATGATCTCTATGGAACTCGCAATACTTGTTGCGGTTCCTTTTGTTCCTTTGCGTTTTCATCTTCTCAGGCCAACAAACGTAGTTGCGGTCGCGGATTTGCATTAGGACTTTAGACCGCAACATGTTGGGTGTGAAGTTTCGATAGGTCGGCAGGGGTGTCTGTGGTCTATGGTCGATTTGGCAATCTTGCCTCTTATGGTACTAATCTAATATTTCTGACTTCCGCTCCTCAGTATCTCTCCTCTTCTTGTCAAGCCCCTCCTCCTCGTCCCGTAGTTGTGTCTGCACTTCTTCTGCATTGATATACTTCTATGCATGGCTCATCAGTGCAACCAGGGTTTGCGGAGGGTTCTTAGAGATGGAGAAGTTGAACGGCGATGGGCAGAGGCCATGTTGAATAGCAGTGATAGCCACGAACAGGTTTAGGTTTCTGACCTGTAGTGCCTCTTTGTTGAATCTCACCAGGTAGTCCTTGAGAGATTCATTTTTCCTCTGTCGCACCTGCATGAGGCTGGCCGAGGTCTTCCAATGCTTTTGACTCGCTGTGAATTGTGCACAGAATTGAGTTTCCAACTACTCCCATGACGCTATTGAGTGTGGAGGCAGGGAGGAATACCAGGTTAGGGCTGGACCTGTGAGGGTGGCCACCAGGGCTTTGCACATCAGACCCTCGGAAGATCCATGCAACATTAGCTGAGCCTTTAGTGCTTCGATATGGTTGGCAGGATCAGTGTTTCCGTCATACTTGTTAAGCTGAGGTGCCCGCCATCCTGTGGGAGGTACCTCGTCCACAATCTCCTAGGTAAAAGGTGGTTCCTTGGTAGTGGGCGCAGCGGATTGATCTACAACTGGCGCCATGCTTCTCTGGCCTTGGTTGCGCTCTAGCTCTTCCAAGCGCTGTCGGAGTTCCCGAATCTCGTTATCCCTATGGTCTGNTCGCTGTGAATTGTGCACAGAATTGAGTTTCCAACTACTCCCATGACGCTATTGAGTGTGGAGGCAGGGAGGAATACCAGGTTAGGGCTGGACCTACGTGAAAGGTGGTTCCTTGGCAGTTGGTGCAATTGGTTGTGTGGGCTGATCTACAACCAGCATCGTGCTTCTCTGGCCTTGGTTGCGCTCTAGCTCTTCCAAGCGCTGTCGGAGTTCCCGAATCTCGTTATCCCTATGGTCTGGGACCGCGGTGTGCGTTTCCCTTTCCTTCTTCGGGCGCGTGATGCGGTCTTTCACGGAGCTGGACTCGACAATGGAGATCACATGAGGCATTGTTCGTCTACCAAGCCTTTCCTTAGCAGGGATCTATGTGGTTTGGTGTGTCCTGCTGTGAGAACGGGCGGAGTGGGCCGACCTTCTTGTTGTGTCTTGCTTTTCTTGGTTGGACCACACTTTACCCTTGTTCATCCAACACGCTTTGGGGTCCTCAGGGAGAGGATCATCCTTCATACACGTCGAAGCATGAGGGGGAACGGTCTTGTTGAGCGGTGCCGCAGATCCTAGGTTCTACATCATTTCGAAGATCTTGTCGACATTTTCTTGCATTGCTTGGAACTACACAGGATCAATCGCAGCTGGAGGCTAAGGAATATTTTAATGCGGAGGGCTATGGTGTTGAATCTCCCAAGATGGGGATCGGCCTATTGATCGTTCGGGCTGGTTCTTGGGCATCTTGATTGCTTTCTTGATTGCGTAGTAAGGAAAGAATGATTTTTAGGAAATGCTTTTTGTGTGGTTCCCACAGATAGCACCAATCTGATGCTGCTCAATCCGAGGTGGTACATGAACTGAGGAGAGCAAGCAGATAGTCCTTGCTGGTAGGGCAGGGCCAAGCTACAAGGACGAGGCCGCGCTTCAAGACCTATGATCAAGAAAGGAGGAGTCAGAGGCCCAAGGAGTTATCCCCGAGTAAGTGCTCCAACGCTCAAGTCAGTAGGAGGTGGTAGATGGTTGGGCCAAGCTATGTGGACACTGGTCCGAGCTAAGTAGCAGTACGGGTATCAGAAGTTGGGTCCCTAACCTTGAGCACGGAGTACCTTTTTTTAGCTGAAGATCCGTGTCCTGGTCGAATTGGGCTTCCAGGGTTGTCGAGATGAGGTTAGCCGTCGAGGTATTCGGGATAGAATCCCATTCCTCAGCGGAGTCATCTTCCTTACTCTTCTTTATCCGTAGTTGTGCTCATCTGTATGTCGCGTAACTGACGTGGCTGAAAGGATAAGATGGAGGGCCACAATAGTAGCGTAGCTCGGTCAAGCTATACCGATGTGGCCGAACTATGCTGACATGGTCAAACTAGGCCGATGTGACCGGGCGATGACTAGACAACCATGTATCTCTTAAGACCAACTCAACCATGACCTGAACACATGTTATTTTTTACATTTTACCATTTTCTATTCTATAATGATTAAAGGGATGCTTTTTACGGTCCAAGATTTTAAAAGTTTTAAAATGCCTTTCTATGAGTGTATCCACACATCTGTGTGGACCATTATGGATATCTCAATATTTTACAAACCAAATCTTTAGGTTTCTTTTTTCCTGTGCATATGATGGTTGCTCTTCGACTTGAACTCGAGTTCTACATGTCAATCAGGGATTTTTCCATTTCACCAAAACTAAAATATATAAATTAACAGCAAGATTACAATGTACATGTAGCTAAGCCTATGGTATACTTGCTCAATTAGAAACCACACGGCATCAGAGTCATTGATGCAGAAAAAGCTTGTTAATGATATCAATGAGAAAGATACAAGGTTATGTAAGTGATGAAAGCAACCTGACCATGAACGGAAAGAATAAGAGATGGATGGTCCGAGCGAGACAGTGATTCATGGATATACTCATAAGAACATAAACCCAATTCTGTAAGCATCCATATTAACTTATCTCCGTACCAATCCGGATTTTCTACTAATTCAATTCTACAATATTCTCTACTAACCCAATAAAACAAATGCCGCTTGTCTCCAAACATGTTATACAATCTTAATTATTTGTGTAAATAGTTAACGTACTGTTATTGTCCTTCCGTTAGATATTTTTTCCTACAAAATTCTTTTTTTTCTTGTGCACGATTTCCTTGAAATTCCTCTCACCCTCTCCTTTCTAGTGTTGCCGGAATTTGCTATATTCACAGGACAATATGCTGATTAGGACGTTCCCATCTCAGATGCCCTTTGAACCTCTCAAAACCCTTCATATATAAGTTAATCTCTTAATCAAGATGTATGAAAATCCCAGCTCCAATTCATGTTGAATCTGCATCAATTTTGTTAACAACTTGTTTTGAACAGGCTAGAAAAGGTAGATATCCCCTTATTTTTCTTGCTTGTACTTCCGCTTTGTTGTGGTCACACCAACCGGCAGCGCACTGCGGCGTAGTCATAGGCAGCAGCACGCACAGTTGGCCGCACAGCAGCAGGCACTGCCTGGCAGCGTTGCACAGCAGCACGCACCGCCGACAGCGCACAGCACGCACCGCCTGGCAGC